AATTAACTGGATAAACGTGCTGATTTATAATATTACTTTTAGCGTAATTGAAAAATTAATTTTGCCATAACCAGTCATTCTATTTTGTTATGTTATGTGAAACATCATTACTTCATTTTTATTTTTATATATAATTAGTTTTTTCATTACGTTATAAGTCTGTTGTCAATGGTTAGGAAAATTTTGCGTTCATATTTTCTATAGAAAATACATTCAAATTTACGCTATACAAGTTACAGGCAAACAGTTTGTTTGTAAACTATAGCTTTATAAAAATTAATGCAAGTATTCTGAAGATTTCTAATAGTGTTCAATATTTAGTAGTTATAATAGCAGAAAGAATTTTATAATAAAAAATTGAAACTAATAACTGATTTAAGAATAAAGTTTAAAAAAACATCAATATATTTTTTGTGATATAGATCATTTGTAATTAATTCATAAAAAAATAAAAGTTAGAAGAGTAATTAAATAATTTTAATTTCTTATGCCCTATAAATAAGTATTATTTTTTATGATAGGACAAAAATTGCAAAACAATGGCAATGAGCGAAAAATCAAACAACAAAACCAAGGTAACAACCATCGAATTAGTTAATTATAATGAAAGACAGTAAAACAATTCTGTTGCCACTCCATCAACAGAAACTTTTGCAAAATATATGTTGAAGGACTTCCAAACGATAACTGAAAGCAATCCGAATTGTTTTTTTATAACTTATTTTTCTTGATGTTCGATAATTCGAATGTCTATTCTTACTTTAGAGGTGAAGAGGCTGAACACCGCTGTCTATCTGTGACAAGGGGTTGATGAGGCCTCTTCAAATATGCAGTTTCATTTTATACTTTCCGTTTAATGTTCGATTAAAGACCAAATAGGTATATGTCTTTCTTTTACAATTGGAATTGATTGGATATTTATGGGGGACATGTTTGCTCATGCAGGTTATTAACTTTTCTTGAAACTAGGTATCCTAATGTCAATCTTGGAATATTTTGTCAAGACTTGCGATATAACGAGATAAGGATATTTATACTTTGTATTCTAAACAAAGAAAGAAAACAATGCTAATTAAAAAGTTGATATTGAGAAATTCATACATTTACATTTCGTACTTCTTAGCACACTGAAAATTAAAAGAAAAAAAAAGTGAAAATATATAATTAGAAAACTAACAAACTAAAAACATTTACTGAATCGTTTGCTAAAAATCATGTAATATACACATGCACGGAGAAAAAAAATTCTGATAAAAAATCGTACTGTATAGTAATGACACTTCTGCTGAAAAAAGCAACATAATTTAGGTTAATAAAACCAAAATATGCGGTATTTAAACCAGAAATTCTGATTTTCATGATTATTGTTCCGATTACCAAATATTGAGTAAAAAATAATGATTTTTATGCCATACATTAAGGTATCATAAAAAAATTACTAAGTTTTATCATATTATCACTTTTAGTTAATGTAAATCACATTTATATTATCACATTTACATAACATATTTTATCGTTAATTTTTCCAAAACCATTACCAAAGCACTTCAGTAAAAATTACCGAGTTTTTTGTTGTTCCCATAGAGCCAAAAACATTGTAAATTTTACCATATTCTATTAGTTTTGACCATACTTTTTTCTCTGTTTTTAAATATAGTGTTTTTAATAAAATAGCGATTGCATTTGCCTTAATTTATATATCGAATATATTTTTCTTAAAATTTTGTACATTAATGTCCCTTTTTTAAAACATGTTGGCGAGTCTTGAGATATTAGGAAAAATTTACGTTTATACTTTACATTTAAAGAAATTTTTTAATTAAAAATTAATAGTGAAAAAATAATTTTGTTACGCAGATTTTTAACGTTTCTTGATCCTAATGTCAGTTTTGAAATATTTATGCAAAATAGTGAAATTTTATATTTTTCAGTCTAAAAAAAATAAAATTCGAAAGGGATACCTGCAAGTGACGTAGTCTGGATATCTCGATCCTGATTGGCTGTTGAAACGTGGTATTTTTTCACGTTAGCAACTGTTCTTTCCATTCTATTTCGAGTAATGTTCCCTTGCTCGCCGACATCTATAATTGCTACGAAATCATTTTTGTTTATTGGCGATATAAAAAAAAAAAANAAAAAAAAAAAAAAGAAACCTACGACTACTTGATTACTATTGCAACTACAATCTCAAACTTGTTCTTTTAGTTTCGATGCTAATTTTTGGTTTCTATATTAAACACGTTAAATATCTTTCCCGTGACAGGTTATTAAGCAATAGTGTGAAAATTTAGTTCTTAATATTGCATTAATATTTTTAATAGCTATTTTTTATTTATTCTTTCAATTGCTCTTGACTAAAACATAGTTTTTTATTATAAAAAAATTACTGAATTAACTTTTAATCATTGTAGTATTTGAAAGAATCTAACTATAAACAAAATATTTAATTCTTGGTGGTAAAATTTCTAAATTATTGAAAAAAGACACAAAAAGTTAAAGTTATTAAATGTGTGTATGTACCTTAATATAAAGCAATTTATTAAAATACACTAAGAAATATTACTAAATAGTATAAAATTCAATACTCATAATTCTACGAGATTTTACTTGACTATTATGGTGTCATAAATTTCGCCTTACGTACAAAGGTAAACATACGTGAACCCGCATGTTCTTAACTGTATTATTTTTAAATATTAATTAAATATAAAACTGAAAGCTTCATACAAATCACAGAACTACTAAGTCAAGGGAAAAATATTATTTTCAGAATAACTAAATTATATAATATTTATCATTAGATACATTTTCGAGCGCTGTGGATTTAGCGTCATTTTTCTGAAATCACTTTTGTTTATGTAGAACTCTTCCCAAATATCTTACATATTCTGCATCGATTGGAGTCCATTAAAAGCTTAAACGTCCACGAATGTTTCAGTTAAGGTAAAACTATGAATTTTCTGACTTCGAAGCAAAGAGGTTAAATTCTTTGTTTTTCAAAATTCCAGTTAATTAAAGTCAATTATTCTTTCAGAATTTGAAAGTCATCAGTTTTTGTTTGCTTACATATCTTGGCAAACAAATTTTGTTGAGGATCTGAAACAAATAATAATTGACCAAGTTTAAGAATTAATGGTTTAATATAGAATTAAAAATGGTTTTTTTGTTTCTTATCACAAACATTTTTAGGCTTTTAAAAAAAAAAATCGTTAGGTGCTACGACAATTTTTTTTTCTAAGACAATCGGTTAGTGCTTTGACAATCTACAGCGCCCGCTGTCGTGCTGGAGTATTTCTCCTATCATGGTTTTCTTTTTTATCTGTTTCTTGCTGTCCCTGCAGTTCTAAACGTTTTAAAAATTAATCAAAGTAGCGCCATCTATCGCCCTACTCGTTTAACTCCGATCATGTTTTTCATTTGCATAATCAGATCTCCAACAAGCTATACATTCTATTCTATTAGACAAAAAAGCGTCGACGCTGTTTTGTTGTAGAGGCCGCCCCTTGAATAGATGGGAGTAAGATATAACTTTAATTGCGCGATGACTTGCGTCCAACGCTCGACAGAATCGTGCGTTTCGAACCGTTTTACGCCATGTCGGCACAATAGCCACCCGTGTGTCAGTAATTACGTATAAATTTCCAAACGATTTTCGTGAAAGTTTTTTCTACTCTTTATTAGAAACATGAATTATGGATGCAGAAAAAAGGACGCAGTTTCATTCTAAAGTGCTGCGCTTTTATACTTACTTCCTCGTGTTTTCGAATGTTTTGAGCTGGCATTTCGAAGCTTTTATGTTTGACCTGTAAATTATAATATTTACACTCATTCTATTGTTTATTTATATAAATTTAAGTCTGAAGGTTGTTTAAAATAAAATTTGCTCATATCTTTCGAATAAAGGCTATTTATATATATTTTCTCATTAAAAAATGTGATCAATTTATTATTTGAATAAGTTTGCTTTTCTGAAATTAATTAAATTTAATTTGTTTGTTATACAACTGTAGAGGATAGTTTTTGTTCTTAAAAAAAATTGTTTATGTTGATGAAAGTTTTAAAAAAAAAACATTTCCTTATAACAAAAAAAAAGACATATTTTTGGGTTGCAAGATTTTTGTTAACCTAATCTATAAATGCATCAGTGTAAAAAATTCCGCATCAAATCACGGTAAAAAATATCGGTACTTTGGGTGCATCATACTTTTACTGTAAAGTCTATTTTTACCGGAACATGTTACAGAACAAAAAATCTGAAATACAGTAATTTTTACAGTAATAATTACCGTAAAATCACTGAATCAAATAAATATCACTGTAGAAATTACGGTATAATATTTTACGATAAAAATTGATTTTACGGTAAAATGAATTTTACGGTAATACGAATTTTATGGAGGATGCACCCGTAAGAAAATGTCGGTACTTCATACTGTAATTTGATCTGGAATATTTTACTGTGGGGATTGAAATTCGTTGTATTTACAGTAAAAACTATATATTTTGTTTTATTTTTTATATCCGTTGTTGAACAGCAGACCCAATTTTTGGGTTTACGACTACTAATGTTCGTCTTGTAATTTTGAACTCAATGCAGAAGACAAGGAATTTTAATTTTGAATTTTAATTCGAGACAAAAATTAGAAAAAATACACTAAAAAAATATTTTGAATATGCAAAAATAATAAAAATTATGTATATCACTTTTTTATGAGACAATTAAATATTAATTAAAAATAGTAATAAAATTTAATTAATTGATTTAAAAAAAATATAGCCGTTGTGAGCTTAACTTCTTATCTACATATTTCTAAATAAAAATTTTATTTTCTTCTATTATTTAAACCTTTCATCTCAGGAAGATATAGGATGTACTGCACAATTAATATAACAATTTATCCTCCTTATTTTATCAGTATAGTAAAGCATGAAAATTTTTTACTTGTTTTAAAAATATGTAAAACTTGTTTTAATGCTTAGAATGATTTATACTTTTGTAGGTAATGACAGATATAGTTCGAGGCAGGTTTCCTCAAGAGATAGTAGCCCTTCACTGAAGAACAAAAAACCTCGAAAAGCAAGAACAGCTTTTACAGATCATCAATTAAGAGTAAGCATACGACCTAAAGTTAATTTAGTTTTGGATCAATTTGACATTCACGATATTTTTAAACAGGATAGCAAGAATGCGGCCTAATGTTTTTTAGTCTTGGATCAATTTGACATCCACGATGTTTTTAATCAGGGTTGTAAGCATACGACCTAAAATTAATTTAGTTTTGGATCAATTTGACATTCACGATATTTTTAAACTGGATAGCAAGAATACGGCCTAATTTTTTTTAGTCTTAGATCAATTTAACATTCACGATGTTTTTAATCAGGATTGCAAGCATTCAACCTAAAATTTAATTAGTTTTGAATCATTTGGTTGGAACTTCATTTACTTTTGAATCATCTTCAAGTCAAATTATTTTAGTTTGAAACATTTGACTTTCACTATATTTGGTTTTTTATGCTTCGACTTGAATCAATTTAGTTTTGAATCATTAGGCGTGAACTAAATTTAGACATATATCATCTGAGTTTGTATTTAGAGAATCAATTTAGCACCCCATGTTTTTTAATCAGGGTTATAAGCATTCATCATTTTATTTAGTTTTGAATCAATTCGACACTTATGTTGTTTTTAACCAGGGTTGCAAGTATTCAACCTAAAATTTATTTAATTTTGAATCGTTTTAAGACAATTATTTTAGTTTAAAGGTTTCGACTTGAACTAGGTTTGATTTTGAATTATTCGAATTGAACTAAATTTAGTTTTGAATTATTTGGGCTTGAACCAAATTTTTTTTATAAATCATTAGAATTTGAATTTAAGAAACGTGAATTAAAATTAGTTTTAATTATTTGGCTTAAGTTAAGTTTGGTTGTAAATCATTGAGCTTGAACTAAATTTATTTTTGAATTATTTGACGTAAACTAAATTAGTATGAAATCATTTCAAAAGAAATAAATTTTGTGTCAATTTAATTGAACAAATTTTTATTTCTAATTATTTAAAAAAAACTAGTTTTTGTTTTTAGACCACAACTAAAAAATCTAAGTAACGAAAAGTGCAAAATCCTGAGTTTTCAACAAATTTTATAATCTTTATTAGTTCTTATAGTCTTCAAGAACAAGGCCTAATTAATTTGTTTGGGTATTAAAATAATTAAACTTATCGTTTACAAATTTCAAGAGAACCAAAAATTTAAAAAAGAAGGGAAGAATAAAAACAGTATTTATAAATTTTTTATCCTCTCTTGCATTTTTTAATTTCTTTAATCGCATACAACATTATTAAAATATAACTTGTTATCTAATTATTAGCATTAAAATTTGAAAGTATTTATCAGCATGTATTATTTAATTAATTAACATTATTTTCCTCACTGTTTATCGTCATTAGTTAATTTTATTATTACTTATTTGACAACAGCAATAAAATAATTGTAAATTAAATGTAATAATTGTAGATAAAATTTAAGTTCTATTAAACACATTTTTTATAAATATTAATGATAGTTCATTATCATGACGTAAATTACCAAAATAGCATGATGGGTTTCTCTAATTAAGACAAAAAAAAAAATTGTTCATACCAGAATTCCTAATCTAAACGTTCAGTTTCTTCTACTTTAACCACAATGGCGACAAAAACATTGATTGAGCTATTAGCGATTATTTAATACGAAGATTTAGATTTGAGTGAGATTTGTAATTAAAATCCTGCAGGCCAAAGAAAGAAGAAAAAAAAGACAGGACATAATGGAGACTAAGCCGTAAAACGCGCCAAGCAATTGCAATTCTATTAACTGTCACACGCAACCGTTTAAGATTGCCTGCATATAAGCAGCAGAAAATGAAAATGGCAAAAAACGAGGCTCGAGGAATAAAAGAAAATTACATTTAGTTCCAATGACAATAAATGATTTATCGTGCAACACCATTTGCTTTTTGAAAAGGTCGGCTTTTCTTTATGTTGCCAGGTACAAACAAAAAAAAACAAAATCTGGCGACTTAATTTCGATTTAGTAGAAGTTAAAAGAAAGTCTTGTTTGTCTAGACGATGTCAAATCTTTAATGAATAAAAATTGGTTGTGTATCGTGTGATTCATTGGTCACTAATTTATCTGTAATACAACGATATATACTAATAAAATGGTAATGACCTTTGCATTAAAGTAATGCAGATTCTAATAAAGAAATCACGGTTCCAAAATTCAGAATTCGAAATAGTCGCTAATAGTCGAATATAAAAGTGTAATCAAGAATACTTCATTTGGTTGTAATTCTAATTATCGGGTTGTCAACTAAGCTCTTTTTTTTCTTCTCATTTTTTAAAAGTTTTTAGTACAGGAAAATTCTATTTTTACTGTTAGTTCCCTTATCGTTTGACTTGAAATTTCGAATAAAAGTCGCTCTTCATCGAGCTCATCTAGATCAGTGGTTACCAACTGGCGGCTCCTCGAAGCCTTTTTTTTTTGTGGCCCGCGAACTAAAATATATTAGTTGTCCTTTTTTGCGGACAATTTTCGTAAAAAATCTTCGTGTCGTAAAATGGGTTTAAAATACTTTTCTTTCGTCAAAAAACCTAATTTCTTCCTTTCTGTGAAATTTAACATACCAACGGTGCAAAAAAAATTATTTCTCATGTTTTGCATCCAAGAAAATATTTATTCAAATGCAAAAATAACCGTGCATGCTGCTTAATTATTTCTCAAGTTTTGCATCCAAGAAAATATTTATTCAAATGTTATTGTTATTGTTACTTTACGTCGCACTAGAGCTGCACAATGGGCTATTGGCGATTTATTCAAATGCAAAAATAACCGTGTATGCTGCTTAAGAATCTACTTCTAATTTTAATTTGTAATTCAATACTTTTATTTTGTACAACTTGATAAAAATCTGACAGTAATATTTAATGTTCCTTCAAACATAAAAGTCCTAGATAAAGTTTTGATAAAGTTGCGGCCCGCCATTTGACTGGTGTTTTTAATTGCAGCCCCCGGCCTCATGTAAGTAAGAAACCCCTGATCTAGATGGTCAGATGAAGGTGCATCGTTAATATCGAAGCCTACATTTTAAACTTGCCATTAAACTCCAAAAAATTAAAGTTAAAGTAGTTCAAAATGTTAGCTATTGTTATTTTAGATTTGTGCGAGAAATTTCATTTTAATTTTTTAATACTTCCAGTTATTTGCAACCCTTATTTCAAAATGTACATTAACACACAGATGGGTGTTTTTATTCAATAATTTAGTTTTGAATTAGAGATTAACGAAACAGACATTCGAGTTTTGAATTGGAGATTTATTTATATTGAAAATATTTGCAAATAATGCCTTATAAAACCACTAATATGATCCACGCACTGAATATAATTGTAACTAGGTTTATTGTGTTCTTTATAAATAATAACTTTTCAGGAAATAATAATAATTATGATGTAATAATAAGAATGATGTTTTCATATCAGAACTAAAACTAATAATTCTAAAAGTAATTATTGTTAACTTTTTGACCAATATCAGTCGTAGCTTATTCAAAATTATAAATACATTTATTTTCCATTTGTTATTGTTAGTTTTTTACTGATGAAAAAGATTAACCTTTAAAAAAGTTTAACCATAATTGTTTTCTTATTAATAACAAAAGTAAATGCTCTGAAATTAACTATTGTTAATTTTTAAAAGATAACATTAGAACTTTCCAAAATTATAACCATAATAATTTTCTGTCTAATCGCAAAAGCAACCGTTCTAGAAGATCCGAACATAAAATGGCACATATACTTTTTACCCAATCCTTATAAAAGTTATTATTAATTTTTGATTGAAAAAAAATAGTTAACCTTAGCAATAGTATAATCATAACTGCTTTTAAACGAAAACAAATGTGCCCGTTCTAAAATGTACTGTTGTTAATTTTTGACCGATTAATAACTGAACTTTCCAAAAAAATATAATTATAATTATTTTTTGATCAATATCAACAAACAACTGTTCTAAATGGTATCGTTAATATTTGAATCATAGAAAATAGTAACCTTCATAAAAGTATAACTATAATTATTTTTATACCTATAGCAAAAGGTATCTATTCGAAAATAAGAAACTCTTAATTATTGTCCGGCAATAATAGAAATTTCCAAAATTGTAATCATACTTATTTTATGACTAATAGCAAAATTAATCGTTACTAAGATTATCGTCAACTTTTGTCTTGTAACAATAGTAAGTCATCCAAAAATATAATCATAATTATTTCTTAACTAATTATTATAAAAGCTCACGGTAATTTTTGACAGATAAAAATTTTTAACTTTACACGAGTATAATCTCTGCAATAGTAATATTTGACCAAGTAGATAGATTAAAATACGTTTAGAAATAAAACTATTTAATACTTTGTTTTTAAATGCTTCTTTTAATAATTGGTTACTTTTTAATCAATATTTGATGCCTTATAATGAATGCATGCATGTAATAAAGTACATAAGAACTATCAGTTTGAAAACTAGAATATGAATGGTATTAAATTAAATATATTTAGGTTTTATCACCAAATTTTTTTTTTTTAATTGGAAATGTTTTTATGATACAGTACGGTAAAATTACACAATTTTTTTTCTACTTGCACAATTGAATAATTTTTATTCATTTAATTTCAGACATTAGAGAAAAGCTTTGAGAGGCAAAAATACTTGAGTGTTCAAGACAGAATGGAATTAGCAGCCAAATTAAATTTGACTGACACACAAGTCAAGACGTGGTACCAAAACCGAAGGTAAAGTTTTATCTTTTAAAAGACTCTTTTAGATTATAGGGATAGATTGTAAGATATATTGAATTGAATTTCTTATCGATAAGGATTGACATTATTATTGTAGATATTTAGAATCCATGTCAAAAAGTACGCCCTTTAGGACAAACAAACAAATTAATATTTAAGCGTTGAAAAAAAAAAGCTATCAAAATTTGAAAAATCATTACTGAAGAAGGCAGAACTCAAAATATTAAAACCTCAATGATTTTTGGTGAAAATAGAAACGGATATAAAGACATTAGAAGAAATTAGAAACACATCCCAGTTTCATGGGATAATAAGACACTTCTTCGCTACTAATTCGAAAAATTTCGATGGCACTTTCTTCCCCACTTCGCTTAACTCCTGCAGTAACTAGCTGAAGGAAAAAGAAGCGCTTTCTCCACGACTTTATACGTACCAAAGAGGACGTACACGCGATAATACGAGTATTTACGTTCGTATGGGCCGCTGGAGTCAGAAAGTCTCGTTTCGTATATAAGACCGTGGGTCATGAAGGGAGAATTTCCTGATTACATATATGTGATGACGGTCCTGAAACGGGTTAAATATTACATTTACGACTCTTGTTTGTACTTTTTAGACTTTATGTTTGACAAGAACTCTTTAAGCAAGGATTACAGAACAGCCTGAATGGGTAACTTGATCGTGGTTCACTAATTACATCAATGCGTTTTTCATGTTTATTTATTAAAAAAGTTACATCTAATATTTACGCTATTAATATTTTAAAAATTTATGAGATTGAGATGAGTAAGATTATTTTAATCGCCTTCGAGTTTTCATTTTTTATATTTTTTTTATTTTATTCCCGGCGTTGAACACCTCACCAAATTTCGGCTATCAATGTTCAACTCTAAAGTGTTGTAATTTTGAACCCCAACCAGAAGACAAGGGAACTCCTGAATCAAGCATTACAGATTAATCTTCGTGGAGGACTTTTTTGATGGAACTAACCCTATTTGCGTTAAAGGTGGAGAAAATCACGAAAACGTCCCACGGTTTTTCCGGCGGCAAGGGCCCACGATTCTAACCCATCATCCGTCTGCCACTGAGGATATTTATATTTTATATCCGTCGTTGAACAGCTGATCCTATTTTTTGGGTTTACGACTACTAATGTTCAACTTCGTAGCCTTGTAATTTTGAACCATGCCAGAAGACAAGGAAACTCCTGGATCAGTACCGCCACAGGTATTGATTTGTTATGGGAACATGGAGGACTTAGCGACTCGATTGATTTAACGTGCATCAGTCACCATTTACTACTCGGGGAGTCTTTGGCCGGTAGGGATCGAACCACTGAGGACATTTGATATCAACACTGTGGTGGTCAGTACGAACCGGAAGCAGAATTCGTATCGACCAGCTAACGCTGTAATTCGAACCAGAGTCGAGCGTGCTATCCCCTGAACCACCGCTGCTCTTTCAGTGAGATTTAATAAGGAAAACTTGTTCAGAAAATAACCATTTAATTTTTATTAAAATTTTTTTTTAAATAAATAAAATAATAATAACTAAGAATTGTGCCTATACAACAAAGCGTGGTAAGTGATTACCGTCCTACAAAGCGTGGTAAGCCGTATAATGTATGATAAAACATCGTAAATCGCAAACATGTTAAGACAAATGTTAAGCGATAAGTAAGTGATGCTAAGTGATTACCGTACTCCAAAGCGTGGTAAGCCGTATAATGTATGATAAAACATCGTAAATCGCAAACATGTTAAGACAAATGTTAAGCTATAAGTAAGTGATGCTAAGTGATTACCGTCCTACAAAGCGTGGTAGGCCGTGTAATGTATGATAAAACATCGTAAATCGTAAATACGATAAGATAAATGCTAAGCAATAATACGAATGCTACATGAAAAAACATTTTATTCTGCAAACCATGATAAGACTAAAAATAAAGACATCTTAAATCTCATTAAAATGAATGATATTTGATAAGACATCTTAAATCATAAAACGTGTTAACACGAATGATTATATGACACATCTTATATTGGAAAACGCGTTAAGACGAATGATATTTGATAAGAGATCTTAAATCAAAAGCCGTGATAAAGTGAATATAACTCTAATTAAGGGGACGTATGATGTGCCGTAATAAATTAGTTTTTGTGAATATATGTTCAGTTATAATGATAGTTTAATAAACGGTAATAAGAGGGAATTCTGTAAAATTTTATTTGCCAATGAGCGTCCGAAATTCTTTAAAAGTATATATTTTCAAAGATGACATTTTTTACTGTAAAATAAATAAGTAGAAATAAAAAAGAATAAACCCTCCCGACTGCATTTCTAATTATTGAAGTAGCATAATATTATCTATATTTATGTAAACCACATAATACGTAAAGATTTGAAAAACTCATTTTTAATATGACTCTTAATTTAAAACAAAATATATTCCTCGATACATAAGATCATTAAAGTGTAAATAATGATGATAGGAAGTAAATAAATGTAAAATTCAAACACTATAATACTGATTTCCTTCACTATTAGCCATTTCGATTCTTAACTTAATCAAACAACAGCGTTTTATAATAAAAAAATGTTCTAATTTTTTTCCTTTGTGTTTAGTCTGTATTCTTGCAGCGTAACGTTAATTTCAATCTCCTTTAACTAAAGAACCGTTGATGTTAGGGTTCTGAAATTTGGATGAGAAGCAAGGAGCAATTTTAGCCCCCGAACAGAGAAATTGATTAAAAATTTTAATTATTCCGCTCGGGAGAAATACTTGAAAAAGGACTTTTTTCTCATTACTTAACCATTGTTATAAATAAAATTGTAAATGATTCTGTTTAAGATTTTATAACACGTTCTTTAATGTTTAATTATTTTTACAAGTCCAGTCATAAGTGTGAATGGCGTGTGAATTGGTGCTACGTCATCTAATTAGCATTTCTAAAGTAATCTGAAACTACATGTTTGTAGTTGTGCCTTAAAAACTCGTTACTGGAAGAAGAAAATAAGGGGCAATTTCTTTCCAAAACTTAAGGAAAGATTTTATACTGCCTACCCTCATTTGGGCATACGGACAAGACAACCCGCCGTCGCGACAGTTCCCCAAGAAGACCGCATCCCGAACACAAGCCTCACACGCCCGGCCAGGCCGCACCCGTGGCATTTATTATAACACAAAATATTTCACAAAAAGCCGAGATATTTTCCAAGGACTTAAAGAATCCTAGGATAAAAAAGTATATAATTAAATAATTTAAATTTCTTTTTAAAAAAACAACATCTTTTCTATGGGTCTACATGAAAAAGTAATAAATAAAATATTTCGTGTAGATTAGAAAAATCCAGCTTATATAGTTTCTGCTAATTTTCCTATTATTATGTTAATTTTTCCCATGTATTATGCAAAAATCATTACTGNCAGCGTAACGTTAATTTCAATCTCCTTTAACTAAAGAACCGTTGATGTTAGGGTTCTGAAATTTGGATGAGAAGCAAGGAGCAATTTTAGCCCCCGAACAGAGAAATTGATTAAAAATTTTAATTATTCCGCTCGGGAGAAATACTTGAAAAAGGACTTTTTTCTCATTACTTAACCATTGTTATAAATAAAATTGTAAATGATTCTGTTTAAGATTTTATAACACGTTCTTTAATGTTTAATTATTTTTACAAGTCCAGTCATAAGTGTGAATGGCGTGTGAATTGGTGCTACGTCATCTAATTAGCATTTCTAAAGTAATCTGAAACTACATGTTTGTAGTTGTGCCTTAAAAACTCGTTACTGGAAGAAGAAAATAAGGGGCAATTTCTTTCAAAAACTTAAGGAAAGATTTTATACTGCCTACCCTCATTTGGGCATACGGACAAGACAACCCGCCGTCGCGACAGTTCCCCAAGAAGACCGCATCCCGAACACAAGCCTCACACGCCCGGCCAGGCCGCACCCGTGGCATTTATTATAACACAAAATATTTCACAAAAAGCCGAGATATTTTCCAAGGACTTAAAGAATCCTAGGATAAAAAAGTATATAATTAAATAATTTAAATTTCTTTTTAAAAAAACAACATCTTTTCTATGGGTCTACATGAAAAAGTAATAAATAAAATATTTCGTGTAGATTAGAAAAATCCAGCTTATATAGTTTCTGCTAATTTTCCTATTATCATGTTAATTTTTCCCATGTATTATGTATTAGTTTATCTTGCAATTTGCTGTAAGAATTTTGTATAAAAATTTTAAAGAAAGCTGAAAAAAAAGTCAGTGGTTTCGAATAATAATAATAAATCCAAATAAATCAACGACTGCTTTTTACATTTTTATACGATATTCTTGCAACACATAATAAATACATCATAAATAATAATAATCACAATAAATAATAGATTTAATAATAAATTAGCCGAGACTATATTAACTCGATTTGTCGACCAGACTGTGTATCGGGTCTGTGTAGGAACTGGCCTTGTATTGGATTTGAATCCCGGACATGGCATGGATGCTCTTTCATTCTCTGTACTATCTGTACTGAGGGAGCAACATTGGCTCACCTAATATGGTGCCCCTGAAAGAGTGTCCAACAAATCTGCCCTAATACGCCTGAATTGACAAAATGTCACCGCAGGTGGGCATTGGAAAAAAAAAGATCAACTGGATTTTCATAAGTTATACGCAATAGTTTATTTATTACTTTTACATTCAGCCCCATTGAAAAAAAATTACTCATCAATATCAACCATTACAATCTTCTTTTGGTAATTCAACCACGAATTTCTCAAATAATCCAACTTATCGTAAATACATCAAGGAAAGAGTTTCAAATTAAACATTATAAAACAATAACTTAAAACAAAACGTTTAAGAATAAAGTCTAGCTAGCTCTTGACTAAATTTTGATCTTAAATTACTAATTGAATTATTTTAATAAAATATGTATGATTATGTAGTTCTATAGTGTAATTTTTTTTAAATTTATTTATTATTATTTAGGACGAAGTGGAAAAGGCAAAATATGACATTCTGTGATTACTACGCTGCTGATAGCGCGACGTTGGCCCGATTCCCGCGTCTCTGGGGACCTAGTCCAGCATCATACTTCCCGTCATACAGCTACAGCAGTTATTTATCCACCATGTCTTCACTTTCAACCCTTGGAGCAGCCCATTTAGGGACACCGGCTTCTTCTACCTCTGTGCCTACCCTGGACCTTTACCAAAGGCAAAGCCCACCTGTATCATCAACCATAGGTCGTCCAGTACTACCAAGAGCTGTGTATCCCACCCCAAGTACATATCCCTCACTGCAACCGTTTTTCCATGGTAGGCCAACGCAGTGAACTATCGTCAAAAATTGAGTCAGAAAATGAAATAGAATTTTCGTCAAACGTACTGGACGTTCCGTCAAGATACTGGACAAGTGCTGAGTTTTTAATTTCGAAAGATTAAGAAGAAACATACTTTGTTTTCTGCTCATTAATGCTTTCGTGTACTGATTATGTTGGAATAGCAACTGGACATTCGTGCGTGTCGGCTGGTCCCGATGTATTACAACAAGTCACAATTGATTCTGTCTTTGGATTGATCTTTTAACTATCGTTTACCCACCCTGATGATAAGAATCAGATGATTGATTACCTTTGTTACGGGAAAATTAATTGATTGATCCTTTATCATTTAAAGGAACGATTGATTAATCATCTATGCTGTGGAAAAATCAGCGGACTATGCCATGGTAAGATTGACTGGATGATTATACATGCTGTGGTGCAGAAATTAATAAATAGATTTTCTTTAATGTGAAGTGATTTTTTGGTTGAACATCACTGCTATAATTAATTGGCTTAAACAATTGAAATGAATAATAGAAACGAAAAATTTGTACTTAAAAATGAAAACTACAATAGCTCAATTGTTGAAACGAAATGAAAGTCGACATGTTTTGAGTATTCGNAAGCGCGCGAAGTCAAGTTCCTCCCAAGCTTATCACATTTTAATATTAATCGCCCCATTTAATTATTTCTTCATTGTCGCCAAATTAGTTTCTTTAAACGCGTCGATGCGAGAAAAATAGAAACGAAAAATTAGTACTTAAAAATGAAAACTTCAATAGCTCAATTGTTGAAACGAAATGAAAGTGAACATGTCTTGAGTACTCGAAACGTGTCGATGCGTGTCTCATCATCGGTACAATGAGCATTGTTAATCATTCGCTTGGAGTCGTCCTGATGGTGTGCGTCGTTTTGATCTCTTGAAAAATTTCAATTTTGATTCCATTTCAATTATGAAGCGAAAGAAGTCTTCGTTTTCAAGTATAAAACTAAGTACCGGTTCATCACGTCTACTTGTTGATAAGCATATCAATCCAAATATCTGATATGAGTTGATTGATATGACCATTTTGGGTTGTTTGCAAGATGATGTTAGCAGATCAAGTTAATTTTTGCTGTTGGATGTCACATGATCAGTTGTACGGCCAGTTTATCACTGTTCAGAAGTGTGAGTGAATGTTGGATTCAACATCTTGCGTGCTTTAGCAATTTTGGTAGATGAATTAAAAGAATATTTCACCTCTTCTACGGCATGATCAAACCCATAGAAGGTGCTGTGTTGTCAGTAAACATTGAAGATGAACTTTTTATCATGTGAATTTTTGAGTGATAGTGATCAACAATGAGGTTTTATCCATTAAAAAAGCTTTAAACACTAACTTTTGAATTTTTCATTCACAAGTTAGGACAAGAAATCTATCTGCTCTTCAAGAAAAAAATATTATAAACTGTAGACTATAAAAGAAACTAAAGCTTTTTTTTCTTTAACTCTCTTCATTAATCCTTCTGTGAAGGAAATCATCTTTGTAAATATTTCCATATGAAATTTGATTTGTAAAAGAAATAATGTTTCCAATTAATTTATTTTATGTTAAAGGGAATAAAAGAATTTGACTTTTTTATTTCAGTGTCAATGCTTTATACAACATGATGCAACAAGAAGCTTCATTTGAAAATCACTTATTGAAATATTCTAATATTTTCAATGAGACTTTCGTTTTCACTTACAATGACGAAATATCGGTGAATTGGGACATTTGATTTTTATAAAATAAATAACTAGAAATTATGTACATATATATAACATTAGTTATAAAATGATTGATAACAAAAGTGATAGGATATCTTAAATTTTCTTATCGCCATTTTTTATCAGAAAAATTACTTCTGCTGTAAACATGTTTCACAGTTTTAATTCTCAAAATGTGCTACCATCTATAAGTATATATTAACCCCTTAACGATCGGTTAATTTTCAATAAAACGGGCATAAAAAGTGCCTATTTTTTGGCTTTTGTATTTGTACAAATTATTTTGTATTTGTATGTATTACGTTTTTGATTAGTGCTGCAACTAGTTTAAAATAAACTAACTATCTACAATTACCTTAAAAATATCCTGGTACTGCCAAAATGAGAAATAAAATGTTTTCCGGGCGAAAGAAATGAATTAGTTTTATTCTTATTGGCGCGTTACTACTGAACACTCCAGCCCGTCAATATCACGGGAGCGAGAAATAGCAGGCGAAATCTCACCCCGTCATTTTCACGGGAGCGAGAAGAACAAATCCTTCGGATATTTATTGTATAATTTGGAAGAGTTCTGATAAATTTCTTCTTAAGTTTGAATGAAATTTTTAATGAAATTTTTAAAGAAAACGTCCTAAAATTAGTACGCCAGACACAAATGGATTAATATCATTGGGCTGAATAAACATGTATCTGGTGATATTGGTGAATCAGTTTTGGTCCGAGAATCGTAGTTAGGTGATCTTTGTTACAGGTAAAACCTGTAACAAAGATCACCTAACTACGATTCNAAAATGTTTTCCGGGCGAAAGAAATGAATTAGTTTTATTCTTATTGGCGCGTTACTACTGAACACTCCAGCCCGTCAATATCACGGGAGCGAGAAATAGCGGGCGAAATCTCATCCCGTCATTTTCACGGGTGCGAGAAGAACAAATCCTTCGGATATTTATTGTATAATTTGGAAGAGTTCTGATAAATTTCTTTTTAAATTTGAATGAAATTTTTAAAGAAAACGTCCTAAAATTAGTACTCCAGACACAAATGGATTAATACCATTGGGCTGAATAAACATGTATCTGGTGATATTGGTGAGTCAGTTTTGGTCCGAGAATCGTAGTTAGGTGATATTTGTTACAGGTAAAACCTGTAACAAAGGTAAAACCTGTTACAGGTTTTACCTGTAACAAAGTACAGGTAAAACCTGTAACAAAGATCACCTAACTACGATTGTTACAGGTAAAACCTGTAACAAAACTTTCCCCAATTGGAAACACCGTTGAATTATTAAATAAGTAGCACATTGAAATATTCTTGTATAAATGTTATTTGATATAACATTTATAACTTTTTTTCACTAATTCAAGCTACTTGAAAATTTTGTTACAAGTAACTTTATAGGGGGAATTTTAATGACCTAAAAAACAGCGAAGAAGCATTTAAAAATAGCAAAAAGTGCTCTTTGAATTAAATAAATAAATAAATAAAAAATTCCTCTTAATTGAACAATTTGTTCAAAGTTTCATTGATAGCAATAACAATCGTAAATCTATGTAAGTAATCCTAAGACACTGAAACGATTAGACATTACTTGATTAAAAACTACATTCGCTTCAAAAATATATAAATAGGAAATAACAATCGACGTGTTTCAAGCGCTCAAAAATAGGAGCCCATTTTCAAGACTTGTCAGAAATGAATGAGAAGAAACAAAAAGTCAAAGTTTAATTTAAAACCACCTTTGTTTTTTCTCATTCACGCCTGTCAAGTCTTGAAAATGGGTGCTTATTTTTGAGTGCTTGAAACATGTCGACTGTTATTTCCTATTTATATATGATTTTAATCCGGTAACCAAAGCAGTATGGCCAGTGTGCCTTTTACAAATTGACTCAATTTATAACTATTTTACGTTTTCAGAGATATTTACTAGTTGTAATGCATTAAACAATAAAGCTCAGTTTAAATTGCATGAAAGTTGCATAGAACTTCTAAAGTTTTCAAAAAATGCTCAGTTAACAAGTTGACTGCCCCCCGAATTTACAGGGAACTCGTTCAGACCACGAGTACCGCTGTACGAAGCGTATTCTGCTAAGTACTCCCACCAATATTAAAAATAATGCGAGTCTCCGGTGGTCACAAGAATAATATTTCGTCCGCTTGTACCGCTTGTATCGTCATAAAACTCGACATTCGACGTATAAAACTCAACATTCATTGAATAAAATGTTTTTTATTCAATAAAATGTTTTATTCAAATTTCTTTACTAAATTGCATATAGATTTTTAGACGACGAAAAAAGAAATATCGTATTTTATAGTTTTAAAAAAATAAAAATAAAAAGATTAGCAAACGATTATTAGCGAAAAAAATATGAATGAAATTTTACGCTACGCGCGCGAAGTCAAGTTCCTCCCAAGTTTATCACATTTTAATATTAATCGCCCCAATTAGTTATTTCTTTATTGTCGCCAAATTATTTTTTTAAAAATAATTAATTTTAATTTTTCTCAGCTTCTAATAAATAAAAACAGTTGAAACTTTAGATTTTTCAATTGGAAAATATGTAGATTAATATGGTATAAAAAATCCATACCTTATAATTCAAAATTTTTTCATCCTCACTTTAATTAAATAATAATAAATAATTATTAAAAATTATTTTTTTCTTGAAATTATCTTTGGGTAAATGAGTTTTATGAGAGGGTGCAATTATTTTTTTTTGAATTGCTTCATTAGTTTTTGAAATATGCAAAAAGCGAAATTAACATTAATGGGTTCAAACTTTGAATCGCTCTCCTGACCAAACTATGGGGGCAAAAAATAAATATTTGTTTATTCAGAGAAAGTATGTTTTTGTGTCTGATTTCGTAATTTAATTAATAGTTGGCACTAATCTATTAGCATATTTGAGATCACCCCCAGGAACCATTAAGATTGACACTTAGTTCGTGAAAATCCGATCATTAGAACGAAAGTTATTCAGGGTGATATCCTTTTTTTTTCTTTTTTTTGCGGACTGTACACATGTAATATTATTTTTTGTGGATATAGTGAACCCAAAGAAGAGAGGGAATTGAATATGCTGAACTTTTTTCTATATTCAACTGATTTTTTTTCTCTCCATTTTTTGGTAATTTTGAAATTTCTACATAAAGTATATGGGTGATTCTTTTTAAACATGACATTTCGAATCAAAAAATTTCTTCAAATTTAAAATCTTCAAAACAATCTAAATTTTTTTTTGTGTACTTCTTTAGTTACATTTATTAATATTTTACAGACAGCAGTGCAGTTTATTGAGATTTGCTCGAGAAAAAAAAAAATAAAAAAAGAAAGAATTTCACCAAATCTTGAATGCAAGGAAAATGACATATTAGCTTAGAAGTTTAAAAAACAGTCATTTTAAGTTAATAGTAAGTAACTCAACTTAAGCCTTTATGTTAGATGAACCATAAATTGCTTAAATTAATTCTTTTTATCCACTGTAGGGAGAATATAATTTTTTTTTGTTGCTGTTATGTACAGAATAAAATTGTGTATAATAATCAATCATTAAATAAATAAATAACTTTGATTACATCCAACCATATTGCAATCACGCATAAACTTGGCATTAGGTTTAATATTTGCTTTTCCTCCTTGCAGTAATAGCAGTTAAAAATATTTCTGGTAACACTTCAATGTCCTGGAATTCATAAGCCAGGAAAATGACAGCCAGGATAATGACAAATTCTCCATTTTATAGCATATAACCTGACTTTAATATTTTGGCCTAAGACGTTTACATTCTGCAGAAAACAACAGGATTTCTTAAAATAACTCAGATAAATCTATGTAGTTTATGTTATTAATGATTTCAAGAAGCCAAGAAAATGACAACACAAAAACCTACTCATCTTGAAAAAATTTTTGAAATAGATTTTGAACCAGAAAATTGGTTCTTTATTCATGCAACGAGACATGTTCATATAGGAGGGTATCTAATCAATCTATTAACATAAGATATTGATTGCTGACTCTTATCTATTTTGGTTATAAACCACTAAATAAAAGTAGCCAGGAAAATGACAGATTTTCTTGGGACAAACAAATTATTGACAGAAAAAATTATTTTATACGAAGTTTTTATAAATAATACCCTCTGCGTATATTCAAGAAATGCTTACACCGGTTGAGATAAAAAAAAAATTAGATATTGAAAAATTTATGGGAAGTTTTGAAGCTAATTATTATTGGACATATTGTTTGGGACATGCCAGGAAAATGACATTTCGAAGTTCAATAAAAAATTTTAACTATACAAAACAGTCAAAGCAATGCAAAGTCATTTTAAAATGACAACAGCAATGCAATTTATTAATTTTTTTAAAAAAAATTTCTTATAGTATTAGATCTTGGAGCAAGGGACAGTGAATTGTCATATTTCGTGAGAATCACCCATATATACCGATTTTTAAAGCCAACCATTGAGAGGAATGCAGCCATAAACATTTTTCTTGTTTACTTCTTCTATCTCAATTTTGAATCCCTAAATAAAGTCCATCCCCAAATTTTTTGTACGTAAGACGAAGAGTAATAAAAAATAAAAGCTAACACATTTTTTGTTATTACTCATCGATTTTTAATAATTTTAATAACAGTAGGGAACCGAATATCCGGAACGATCGGGACCATCGCTATTCCGGATAACTGATTTTTCCGGTTTTCTGAATCTGTATTCAGCTGCTGTTTTTT